TCAGCCGCTGGTCAGTTTCAGCAGCGGCTGAATCTGGATGCCAGTTCCGACTTACATACAGATTCAACTTAAGAACAAACCTACAGTCCCTATCTTGTATGTAACCCGGGGACTGCCTGTACTCCCATCGGCTTAACTACTCCAACCACCAGTTAGCGATAGTATCCATGTCAGTGGAAGAAGCTCTCTGTTCAATGCAGTGCTGTCCAAACCAGCACTAATGATGGCATAACTTATGTCTTTCAGGGGAACGGTATACTCAAACCTCAGAGCCATGTAAGTTATGACAACATAAGCTCTACTGCAGGCATACACTTGATTTGATTTCATATCAGACTGGTATAAATACCAGCATCCACAAATCCAAGGGAATGGCTAGACTACATGGCTCCGTCAACAGAACCATGTAAATTAGTGTATTTGGCATAGTCAAAGAAGCGGGGCTTTAAATAATCCCCGCTTCATTACAATAAACATAGACAAGGCTTCTCTTGTCGACCATGCCGCCTCTAGACTGCCACGCTGTGCTGATCAGCCGATCGTCGGCACAGCGGCCATTTTTATTGTAATGAAGCGGGATTATTTAAATCCCCACTTCTTTGACTATGCTGAATACACTAATTTACATGGCTCCGTCAATGGAACCATGTAGTCTAGACACACCCCAAATGAAACAAAAGATTTTCACTTCGTTTTGAAGTTGTTATACAATACTTAATGATATACCAGTTGTAGTCAATAGAATACAATTGAAAGATATAAGCATACTATTTTAAAAGCACCTAGTAATGTTATCATCCTGATCAATTTCCTGGGCAGTTATTTGAACCAGGGCTCAACTGACAAAAGGTCCCCCCCCCCCCCTTTTTCAGAAACATTGCCATAGCTCTGGACATTTTGGGTAGAGCTCTCACTGCCCCAAAAATAGACTTACCCTCCCTTTCCTACATTTTATTGTACTATGCCCCAACAGTTATTGCTTTATTTCTCTATTTTTTCTTCCCTTTCTATTTTGTTATTTTTCTCCAGAAAAGTTGCAGGAACCCATTAATGAAGAAAACCACCACACACACACACTCAACTGTTTAAGCTGAGTAAATGGATGTAATATACCTATAATCTTACTGAAGCATTACACACGTCTATTTTAATCTCATATACATCATTTAGACATTGATTTAAGTGCAATCGACCCTGTCTGTGTGTATTGTTTCTAGAATGCTCAGAAAACCATGAAGAGATTTGGTCTTGGTGAGATATTAGACTGGATGTGCTGAACAAATCTGCATTAATACTCCCCCTCCCCCACCACCACCACACAGTATGCCACATTCAGAGAAGCAAGTTAGTGAATGTAGTTTAAGCATTACCACACATTCCAATGGAAATAGTTATATAGCAAAATAGTGAAAAAACACACCAGAGAGATGGTGCTACCTGTTATAACTTTATTATGTGAGCACTGCTGAAAACTTTTATTGCCCTATACAGAAAGCGTGACTGAACTTGTTAACAGTATATTTGGATTCTTGGGCAATGTATTAAATCTGTGCAGCGATCATTTCCACACAGACTGGTGATTCTTGCTGCAACTTAACCTGGAGGCCAGCCCAACTGACGTCCACCAAGAACGTGTAGATGTACGTGATAGACAGACTGTCCACCATCTGGGCCTTCATTCAGAACCATTCGAAATCCCTTGGTCAGGCCCAAATCAGCAGCACACTTCTTGCCAACAATCACTAAATGCCCAAGAAGCTGGAAGGATCAAACAAGAATGGGAGAAAGGAGAGAGAGAGAAAAAAAAAATAATCAACCACAGAAACAATTGTGAGCAATTTGAAGACCTGTCAGTTTATCAGTTATATGGTGTAACTGTTAAAAAAAATCTCCAAATAAATTTTAAAAACTATTGTAAAAGATGGAATGGCATACAAGACCAAAACCTTAATCTATAAAGGTATTTTTGTTTGTTTAAAAAAGGGAAGGACTTTTACAGGCAAGTACTAGCCAACAGATGTCACAGTCACACAGGTCAAGATTAGGCCCTTTTCATTCCTTATTTCAATTAAGAAGTTGGCTTTTCTTCATTGTATACTAGATAACCAATCACAAAGCACTGAGGCCTGATTTTCAAGAAAGAAGAGCCTTTCTAGTTCTCATGAATTCAGGTACCTCTTGGCAACACTGTCACTTCACCCAAATACAAGATGCCACAAACTATTTTTTCCCCCACACTAGAAGAAGCATCATCTGTTCTACACTAGGATGGAGAATAGAATATATTTCAAAACAAAAACCAATACTTCTGCATTAAAAACATGCATTTTTAAAAGGTACATTTTCTCACTGACTTAAATCATTTTGTACTGCAACTAGAGATGTAAGCGACTAGTTGACTATCCAATAAATAAATGCTTATTGGATAGTTGATTAGTGACTAAACTAGTCACTTTTTCCCCGCCCCCTGCCTCTTTTTGAACAGAGGGGCAGAGCTACGGGACCAATCCAGCAGCACCTCAGCTGTTCTGCCCCAGGCTGAAACTGACCAGAAGCTGACTCGGGGAAGCTGGGGGCAGAGCAACTCTAATTGTCCGGCTGCCCGGAGCACATCCGGGTACTAGATGGTGCCGGACCATCAGGAGTGCCATACCACTGGAGTTTTACTGTAGAATGTTAGGAGTCGTTAAAAAAGGGATAGAGAATATAAAACCATGGTACACCCACATCTTGAATACTGCGTACAGATGTGGTTGCCGCATCTCAAAAAAGATATATTGGCATTGGAAAAGGTTCAGAAGAGGGCAATAAAAATGATGAGGGGTTTGGAATGGGTCCCATATGAAGAAAGATTAAAAAGACTTGGACTTTACAGCTTAGAAAAGGGGAGACTAAGGAGGGATATGATAGAGACCGATAAAATCATGACTGGTGTGGAAAAAGTGAATAAGGAAAGTTATTTACTTATGCCTACAATATAAGAACTAGGGGTCACCAATTGAAATTAATAGGCAGCAGGTTTAAAACAAACAAAAGGAAAGTTTTCTTCACTCAGAGCAGCCAATCTGTGGAACTCCTTGAGTAGGAGACTAGGACTTTAACAGAGTTCAAAAAAAGAGCTAGTTAGATTCATGGAGGCTAGGTCCATCAAGGGCTATTAGCCAGGATGTGTAGGAATGGTATCCCTAGACCAGTGGTCCCCAACGCGGTGCCTGCGGGCGCCATGGCTCCTGCCGGGGCATTTGGCCGCGCTCACCGACAACCTGGGCCGGCCCCACGCGCAGCGCACGGGAGGGAGAAATCTCCACATTGAACCTCATGGCACTTTCCTCCCCTCTTGACACTTACTATTGGGGTGGGGGAGGGGAATTTTGCCCTCTATCATGTACCCAGGTGTTGATTTTAGGCCTCTAAATCTGCACTTAGGTGCCTGCAATCTGTATTTAATTGTCTACATAGATTCAGGTGCGGGCGCCCGCGAGCCTCTAAAGGTTGGGGACCACTGCCCTAGACTCTGTTTCTCTGAAGGTGAGTGACATGGGTGGAATCACGTGAGGATTACCTGTTGTGATCCCCAATCCCGGGGCATCTGGTATTGGCCACTGTCGTCACACAGGATACTAGACTAGATGGACCTTTGGTCTGACCCAGTATGGCCGTTCCTGTGTTCTTATGCTAAAATTTGATGCGGTTACATAGCATGTAATTGACTAGTCATCTAACATTCCTACTCAAAGCAACCAATGAATTAAGTACGCCACTGCATCTTGTCAGTCTGTGCTTTGATCAAGCTATAAAGGCAGAAAATGAAACTCAATCTCTGCCCTAAAAAAACCAAATCATTTTCATAGGTTACAATAATATATTCAATAGACAGAATTAATATGCAATGACTTTCACAATACTTACAGATTCATCTGAATCTTCTGCTTCAGATAATTGGGCAATTGGCTTCTTAGGAACCACTAGGAAATGTGTTGGAGCTTGGGGTGAAATATCATGGAATGCAAGGCACTAAAAAAATTAAAAAAAATTAAGAGCTGAAGCATCAACACTTTAAAGAAAAACAACCCCAATGGATAAATCAGAATATCACATTACCACTCACCCCCATACCAGCACATACTGAAGTTGAGATCGTAAGTTCAATAACTTTCCAAAATTAGCACTGGTTACTTGATATTAGAGAGTCATTTATACCTTAAAATGCAGTTAGCAGTAAGAAGAAAACCTTTAAAATTAACACAAAATGCCTATATACAGAGACCTACGAAGACCAGTTTTGAGTCTGATTTGTAAGCAAGTAGTTTTTAAGTGAGGTGAATACTTAAAAGCAAGACAAGTCAGACTCTTGAAGGGGACTCAGTACTCTAGAAAAGATGAGAGCCACTGAATTAGCTGGTTACATAGAAACATCCTTCAATCCTGCAAGAGCAGTTTTAATTCCTGAAGATTTAGAACAAGTTTCCTCTTTTTATCTTGTGAGAGATGATGATCACATAATTATTTAAGCTTCCCAAAGTGTATTAAGATTGGAAACTGGATTTCTCCCTATTTCTCAGACGGGCTTATTTATTATCAACTCAGTAAATTGAAGAGCAGGCTCATTTTATTATACTAACTGTGGCAATATGTTTTCCACAGCATACCAAGATTAGAGGCAAAGTCTACTAAAACTTTCACATGGACAAAGAGAAATACATCTATAAGGTATGCACATTCTCATTGCAAAGCAGCAGCAAAGAAATTGCTTTGGAGAGCATTTCAAAATTATTCAGTGAGCTACAGTAAAATTTTCCCTAAAAAATTGTGATACTATCCTCACCTCTTAAGATATTGGCTCTTCAGTTGTCAATAGCTATATATTTACAGGTCATACTAATGGTACATTTTTCAATAAGAATCCATCTTCTGCATTGCATTTATACAGGGCCTGATTTTCACAAGCAAAGAGGAGCCATAGCTTGCAGTGATGTCAGTGTTTAGTGTCAACCCTGGATGGACATAGTCAGATTCAAATTGCTAGATAAGGGAATTGGGTTATGTTACACTAATAAATATGCAACTTTTCTTAACTTTATGAGTCAAGATCAGGAGACATGCCATCAAAACTGAACCAGATCCAACAGGTATAAGCCAAATTATGGTAGCTTTATCACAGCAGGATGGCTGCCCATTTTAAAGATACAAATTCTGGGTTTGTGGCCAAGATATAGCATGATCCAGATACCAGAACAGAGGTCATGCAATACTGCTGCAGACAGCCACCCTTAGGTCTTGATTTTTAAGAGTGTTCCCTATTTAGGCAGCAGAGTTCAGGTCATCTCTGTGGGAGTGGGAGCAATATGGCTGGATCGCACAAGATGCAAGGAACAGGGGCAAGTATTTGGAGCGCCGTTTGTACCAGGCAGGACCCATTAAGATTGATTTGGTGTCAGACGGCCCTCGACTTCGCGTATCTATTTATGATCTGGTGAGGGGGCTGGGTGGCCACAAACGAGCAACTCGTGATCCGGGGCTTTGCAGCACCAACATGGAAGCCCTGGAACGTGGAGGGCTGGGACCAAAAGCAGGTTTCCCCTTTTCCTGTCCGCCAATACGATAAGGAGGTGGGGGGGGGGGCACACGAAGCCCCTGCCCCAGCG